GGAAATTATACAACAACATACTTCAGAAATATTGCAAAGGTATTAAATCATCATATCATGTGCTAATAAATAAATAAATAAAATCGCATAAAATAAAATAAAATATTTTTTTTGGGTATATATAATTTATTACATCTGATCTGAACATGCAGGATGAAGGAGTTGTGCACATTACATCTGAAATGTGTGATAGGGACATTTCCATAGCAATGGAGCCAACAATACCAGCTTGTGGATAACTACAACTATATCGTCACATTTTTCTATTCCAATGGGCACTCAAGTTTTTCCTTCTCTGTTTTTGGGGAGTTAAATTGCTTAGCGAAGGCCCTATTTTTCCCTTTTTTTTTTCTTTTTATAGCTGCAGCAATTTCATTGATGAAAGGACAATACAAGATAACTGTTGAGGCCCAAAAAATCAAAGGCTGTGCTCAAATATATTCTCAGCTAAATGTGATACTTTACTGAGAAGAAACCCAATTTAGGCACACGAAAGTTCGTCAAACACGCTCGCACGAGTCACGATTCACGTGCCACACCAAGCAAATATGTAACCTATCACGTTAAGAGTTGTAGCGAGCCTATAAAATGCATTGGCTCTATGAACCCATGCTAATTATCCCGCCAAGCGCTATTTTGACTTTACCATAGCCCTTTACAATACAATGAAATTCGAGCACGAGCATGCTAATTGACATGCCATGCCAAGCGGAAAACTCTTGATTTTACACCTAGCCATACTACAAGCTTAAGTGGGCTCAAGCCACGCAAATGCCTGGAGCTTGTTGAGCAGGTTGTGGAATGGATGGTTACGAGCATTCACGAGGCCCATTGATGAGCCAAGAAGTGGAAGTTTTGGGCTGCTTGGGAGCCCCAAAACTCGAGTCCATTTCTTGAGCCCAAATATGTGGGTAAGCATGAAAGAGAGTAAAATGTAGTTCATTACCTTAGAAAGTTGGCCCATCACAATAGTAAAATAGTCCATCACTTTAGAAGTTGGCCCATCCCCTTAGTAAACTAGCCCATCACCCTAGGGAATGGCCCAAGTGACTTAGAAAATATATGAAAGTCTCCAGCATATGGCTAGAGACTTTACCACGACAGAAAAACTAAGGGTACTTGCATGTGCAGGCTGCTGGGAGTCTCCAGCACATGGCCAAAGACAAACCCAAGACAGACCATTCGAAAAATCAAAGGATATTTGGGTGCGCAGGGATACTTGAGCAAAATACCATTCAGACCAACACCATTACCCACTTCTTTCTCATACCATCTCTTGCCATGAAATAATGGAGGAAAGAAGGAAAGATGGTAACCAAATATAGGAGATTGCCACATGGATAGCTGTGGGAAGACTCTAGAGCTCCCAAATTTTTTGTCTCTGTGTATTTGGATTAGGGGAGGTTTCATAAAAAGAGGTTGAATCGAAGGAAGAGAAGAGAAGTGGAGGAGAAGACTTGGCAAAATTGGAGAGAACCAACTAGGATTTCTTGGAAAGAACCAGCTAAGGTTCCTTGGGAAGAACCAGCTAAGGTTCCTTGGGAAGAAGGAGCTTCCAATGCCTATAAAAGAGGGCATCTCTTACCTATCATCTAAAAACCACATCCAAAGAGGGAGCAAGCATCGCCTTTCATCCCTGGAACCCTTTAATTTCGAGCCATATTCCTTAATTTTTTCCCATTTTCTCATATGGCAAGCCATTCCAAAGCCTGACGAAGCTTTCATCAAGCTGCCGGAAAATTATTCAAACCACTCACTTTTCCTTCCTCATATCTTCCTCTCTCCCCTCAACAAATTCTCTCAAAATTCCTTCTCCCCTTACTTTGAACCCCTGTTTCTCATAGGAAATCCAAGCCTTCTCTCTCTTTGATGCTAAACTCATGAATGCTTAGCTTCCATGCCACAAGCTTTTTATATATTTATCTGTAAGCAACTGTTGGTTTTGTTGGTGAAGGAGACCAAGGTGTTTCCTAATGCTCCACAACCCTTTCGAAGCACTATTGGGGTCTGATTCTTAAGCTCAGACTGACAGGACCCGTCCAGAAATTCCTCGGAACCTGGGACGGACCCCGCCTAATTACCGGCATCATCCTGATGCCGGGCCCATTTACTAAAGTTTGAGACTTTCTACCAAAAATTTGGCAGAGTCTCCCCTGTAAATTGAACATTTCCCAATTCAACCTGCTCAAAATTTACAGTTAAAAACAACCAACTGGCAGCATGCTTTACAGGCAGTACAAAAATTTACAAACAAGGCCTCCAGGCCTTACAAAATTTAAACCCTCAGTGGGCGATACATAGCATATCTACAGAATTCAAAATACAACCGAAATATCGTCAACTGAAAGGAAATGGTACCAAGAGTCTCCTCGAAGACTCGAATTCCAAGATGCACCCGGTCCGGCTCAATTGCAAAGCTCAGTCGCTACTGGCTGGGGGCGCAAAACAGAAAATTGTGAGTGGACAAAAATCAAGTTCAGTTCAAGTGAAAACAAAATAGTGTAACCCCCACCTTTATTAAAACATGCAAGGAAACCATAAGCACCATAAGCACCACAAAACAACCTAAACAGTACATGCATACATACTAACACATTTCTACCGGATCTCAAATCCGTAATCCGTGAATAATACTTCACGAAGCCCACCACTCAATTTAGGAGTTCCGAGAGGTTAGACTCTCATAAACATTCTCAAAGGTACGACTGGCGAGGAAGTGTCCTTACCGAGAAATAGAACCAAAGAATATTCATACATACACATAATTATATATATACTCAATCTATGATGTAACAGAATAATAATAATAATAATAATAATATTAATAGTATATGAATATAACCAATATTTAATTGTACCGGGGAAACAATCCAACCGGGGGACTGTTTGACTAGTCCACATGGCAGAGCCATTCCTCAATTCACCATGTGTCTAGGGAACGAGCCGTCCAACTGGGGAACGAACTCTCAGCCAGCACGTACAGCCGACACAGTCAAAGCTTGTACGCCTGAAATACCAGTCCTACGCGCCCAGACTACCCCAAATCCAGGGTCCACAGCAACATCCCCTCAAGGATGTTCTGAGTTCTCATAATTTCAAAAGTACTCAGTATCCGTAACCAAAATCAGATCAGGGGAGGTACATGAAATAGTACTTAACGCACTCCAACTAGCAATTCAAATATTACCTTTCCAACACAAGTAGTCCCACACAACTTGACCCTTAGAAGGTCTCGCCTGCTGCGTATGCTGGGTCGGAGTACCTGATTCAGAATACGAAAATACGATGAACGTCAAGCGCTTCAAAACAGAACTTTAAAATAAAACCCTAGCTTCTCGGGAGTTCCTATAGGTTTTACGAAGTCTAGGATACACGTCCTGTACGTTTGGTCCCAAACGGACGGTTAGATCGCTCACGATCGCACAAATGGACGGTTACTGAAACCCTCACCCTAGGTTAGCATTTCCGGAGTATCCGGGACTCCGTTTTACGATCCGTCGAATCCCACACGATCCTAAGGGTATCTAGAGGAACATATTTCAGTTTGAAAACGATCCAACAGTCGGGACATATTGGACCCGAATAACGCCCAATATGCGATAATTGGTTCGATTGTCAAACGACCTCGGAATCGAGATCCGCGAAATCCTACGCGCTCGTGACAACCTAAGGATCACACTGGAATGATTTACAGCTCCACCACACTTGCCCACGCGCCGCCACACGCGCTGGCAGCAAGCGGGTGTCCAAAGCGATTAGGCTTGGCCGGAAAATCTCAAAACCTCAGCCCAATACTCCTATCCTAGATGTAACACCCTATTTGGAGTCACTATTGTTCTTGGGCCCACCCCAAAAACTGACCGGAAGTGGCCGGAATTTCATCCCGAAATCCGGCCAAAACCTAAGTTGAAAATCACTTCCAAAACCTCAAAATCGTTTCAATCCTACACAACAGGCAGCTAGAACAGATAAAAAGAAGGAGAAACCTCACCAATTTTACCTGAAAAGGACGGCGGAGGCGGCGGCGCAACAACCGGAAAAATTCGGCTCGAACCAGTGGAAACAGCCGGCTATTTTCGAGTTTTCCGACGGGAAAAACTGATGGGTCTTGACCGGGACGTCAAGACGAAGCCAACGGGACCGGTATTGGCCCCTGCCGTGACCTAAGCTGGGAGAAACGAAGAGAGAGAAAGAGAGCGTCGGGTCGGGGAGAGAGAAACCGCTCGGGGGAAGAGAGAGAGAGAGAAGAGAGAGAGAGAGAGAGAGAGAGAGAGAGAGAAAGAGACACAGGGGCAAGTCCACCCATTTGTTCTTTACAGCAGCCTAGGCCCATCTGTAGCTACCGGAACGAAAAAACCCCCAAAATAACCTCAAAGAGGGCTATTGCAAATTTGAAAAAAAAAATGTTTTTTTTTTTGGGGTATAGAGGGGACCTAAAGCCCCAAACCAAAAAGAAACTAAACAGAAACTAGATGAGGTCTAGCAACACCTTGAACATCAACAACTAATGTAGCACTAAGAAAAGTCGGAGCCTCCAAAAACACATGGAGACCAGTACCAAAATCATAACTTTGCGCAACCAGGGCATCCACAGCATAATTTTGTTCACGAAAAATATATTTGACAGAGCAGCACCAATCCTCATGAATCTTCATTTTGCAACAATTGATAATACTAAAAAAATGATTTCAATTTGACAAGGCTAAATAAATCTCCTTTTTTATTTTTTATTTTTTATTTTTTTCCGGGTTTCTTTTGTTTTTCTTTAATATTTTGAAGTTTCTTATCATTCCTCTCTGCCCATATTAAGAGACTTTTAAATTGACCAATCTAGCGGGCACCGGTGGCATGGGGGAGAGGGAGAGTTTGGCCCACTTTTCCGCTGTGGTGCCACTCCATGTACAAAATACCATTCCTCTTGAAAAGTTCATAATTAAAAGCTAAAAGAGAAACCTGCCCTAGTAAAACGCAAATCCAAAATCAAAATGTATGCAAGGCCATTCCTTCTTGAAAAGTTCCTGATATCAACAACTGTAATGAAATATATACACTTCCTGATCAAGCCTGGGTGCTTTTAACATTATCAACAAAATAAACCCAAAAAAAAAAAAAAACGGTTGGATGTTTTTAGAAACAGATATAAATCTCGATCTGGTCCTATCACTGATGACAAAAGAGATTGTCCAGAAAAACCTTGTACTAGTGGATACTCCTAGCTAATAAATATATGTCCTCCTGATGCACTTCTGTTCCAAGACAAGTAGGATGTATCCCCAAGAGGCCTGCACAAAAATGCAAAAGAAATTTCAAGCACATCTCACTAATAGCTTGCAACATTGAAACAGCACACCCGATTGTGCTCAATTATCCAGAAATCAACTACTCAACTAGTTAAAGCATATTTCACTTTCTACTTCCAATTTTTAAATACCGATTGCCTAGAGGAAGTGGTTCTTTTCAGCAAAAAGACCAGTGTCAATTTACTGTCAATGTGATCCTGAAGTGGCAAAATGATAGGACCTTGTCAACCAACTTAATGTTTAGACTTGCATATTTAGTTTGTAAGGCTCATCAGGAATAGATCTGGACGGGGTTTGCCTAAATTTTTTGGCATCCGACACCCATTTTAAATACAAAATTTAGTAATTTACCATATACTTAAGCACTTACATAATTCATGGACAACAGCTTCATCCCAATTATTGTTTTTATTGTACAATCTGACCTTTGAAAAGCGAACCAAAGTTTTAACTGATCAAAGTGCTGCAGACTTATGAACCAATTCACGTACCTTGGCTTTATCAAATATAGAAGTATGAAGCTTATGGCCAAGAACAAACAGAGTCCGCCAACAGTAAGGTATGCTACGCCTAGCAGATAATTCTTTCCACCAATCCAGCTTGCGGTTGAAAGTACAAGCTTCTTGTTGCCACCGAAGCTGTAGGTGTTATAATTATTCTCTATTGTTACAATTACTACATCATTAGCTTCAAGGTCCACTTCTATCCTCCCATATAGTTTTCTGAACGTTGGCAGTGCTGCAGTCCGCATCCAAACAATAAGATCTTCTTGTTCACTCAGCTTTTGCATGCAGAACCAGAGAACAATATTAACTTAAAGCAATAAACGAAGTAAACCGTAGAGACACAAGAAGACAGATAGGTGCGAAGATTTACAGGTATGCTAGAATTCAGTTTTGCTCCTCCAATCAAACCCCCACTCTGGAAATTTTTAGGATAGACATCCGAGCCGAACTTATTCCCCTGGTCACTTTTCCATGTGATGTCCTTTTTGTTGACCCCCAGTTGTTTGTTTTTCACTGAAAACTTGTATGTGTCATTAAACAAACTCCATGCAATCAGACCACAGGGAACAATTGTACCATTCGGTGAATTGCGTTCAGGAGCACAGGTGCTTGTTTTATTCTCATCAGACTTGCTCCGCAACTGACTGTCACTTCTACTTTTAACATATCTGGAAACAATATTTCACAATAAGAAACAGGGGCGCAGTATCTCAGAAATTCATAATTACAAGAGGGGATGGCAATTTGTAATGTGGCATTTTCAAGTTCCAATCAAATCTTCCTGAAGGATGCATAGAGCATTCAGTGAACTTCATCTAACAGAAAAACAATTTCCAAAATTTTAATTTTCTCTTGAAGAAAAGCCATATAAAGTGAGAAGCTGGGTAACTATTTTTTTACTTTTCAGATGTTTGCTACACTGTACTGGCTAAAAGAAACAAGGTTTCATACATTGTCCTAACTCAAATACTTCTATTCAGATTCAGAATATTACATAAACTCCATAGGTCACCATTAATGTACCCAAATACTCCTGCTTTAAATCTTATCTCTTTTCAGCCACAATCTTTTACCTTTCTTACTATGAGTATTTCAATGTGCTCTGGCCCTCTAATAGCCCTTTAAACAGATGCTTTTGATAAGAAAGCTATTTGCTATCACAATATCAAGAAGATATAATTTTCAGTTTTCTGCAATTTTCACCTGTCTTAAATAATCTTTCATTCCGTTACTAATAAACTCTCTTATTTCATCATCACAACATCCAAGCAAATGTAGGCAGGTGTCTCTAAGCTTGCCTAAGCAAACGTAGGCAGGTTTCTCTAAGCTGTCATTTCTCTTTTTCCCGATAGGAAACAGAGGCAGGTTTCTCTAAGCTGGCCTAAGTCAGCAGAACATCACTCTTCTTGAGCCTAAGGCTCTGTTCCTCTTAACTCAATCTAGGAGTCTTCATCTGTAAGACTGTTTGAAATAGGAAACCATTGAAGCACTTACTTAAAGGTTCAATCAATATTGAAACCAGTGAAGCATTTATTTATTTGGAATCTGGATTCTGCTTGTTGTTAGAAAGTTTAATGTGTGCTTTACGTTTAGCTTTCATTGATGTATTGCTGTGGTGGAAAATTCTATTTCATCCTGCAAGTAATAATTGCTTGCAGGATCTCAGGACACTAAGATTTCTCAAAAGCTTTAAAGTCCCAGGCTTCCCAGCTTACGCTGACGATAGTTTAAAGCTCGTGATATTGTTCGTTTTTTCTCTCTTTGGCCCAGTTTATCAAACAGAAACTACACCTCTTCCATGAACTTCTTAAATCAAGCAGCCATGTCCACTCCACATACTCTAAAGAAATGATACATGACAAGAAGAATTTTACATACCGGCGATGATTCTGATAGAAATGATCAAGCTGGTAGTAGATGTAAACGGGAGATTTCATTTGTTTTGGAACCTGAAAAACCTCCAGTAAATGTAGATTATCATAAGTATATATTCCCAACCTAGAGAGTAGAGAGAGACTATGAAAAATTAAGCCTGAACTTTATTATATATAGAAGTAGCAGAGGATTGGACTTACAGTTAGTCTCCTAATACAGGTCTTGTTAGTTTTACTACTCTGAATAAATGCAAGCGTATCGTCCGTATATCTAAGAGGAACACAATCTTTGTCATAGTGGTCTATAATTTCCACCACCTGCATGTAAAAGAAAGAAAATTTTAGTTTCATGGTAAAATTTAACAGCGGCCATTGATTGAACTTCACAATAAGCACTACATAAAGGACAATGAGATATATTACACGCTCTGATGCAAATAAGGAAGCAAAGCCAATAGGGATAAAGACAATGCCGATTGTGACAAATATAGAAATGACCTGAAAAATAAACAAAAACAAAAACATATTTAAACAAGAAAAATGTAAAGTGTCCAAATTGAAGCAAAACCTATAATTGACAAGAAAAATTCAGCACAACACATATACTTTACCCATCCTGGTGTTAAAATTGGTTTGCAAGCTGAAAGCTCTTGCTGTGTGAACTTGGAATCTGGAATATATATCAGAATGCACCAGGCATATGACTTTTGTTAGAATAATGCTGTAACACCATTAGAAAAGGATTGAATTGAACCATTCAGACTGCAGATTGACAATCCAACTCCAATGTTAGGAGAAAATAAAAGAAAACTAAACTGTCAACAAATGGGGTTACAATGGGGCCCTCAAAATCAAATTCTTATTCAAGGACCAACAACCATGTTTTGATAAATACATAGAAAATATATTGGCTACGTTCCTACAAGAAAATGCTGGAGTTTCTGCATAAACCAATTGGATTACCCAATAAAGCATATGAAGTTTCCTTGAAAGAAAATGTAACAACCACAATGAAGCATCCAAATAAATGTTTTAAAAAAAAAACAATGGAATTTCAAGAAAAACCGTAAACAACAGAAAGCAGAGCAATTGAAGAAAAGCAGAAACCAAAATACATTTGTATTTATTAAAAAAAAAAAAAAAAAGCCATGCATTTATGCCAGAAAGGAAAAATGAAACAAAAAGGAAGTTAGAAAGGTACGAACATTTGGGTCTTCTGGACTTCCTTTTGGTAGAGGAAGATGAGGCTCCTTCTTTGGTCATTGATCCTAATTTATCCATCTCCACGATCCCCTTCCTCTACAATGCCACAACTCCCACTACTCACACACAGAAAACAACAGAAAAATTGTTAACGTGATAGATCAATTGAGCCAAAGCAAAAGAACCCTTTTGAAAATTTGGGAACTTTCTTTCTCTTACTACAAATTTCGAGTCATGGAAGGAACAAAATGCCTGCTTTGTTTCATTTGTTAATCTGAAATTGACACTTACCTTCTTTTCTTCCTTTTTTCTTTTTCGATATATTTTTTGATTTTTTAATTATTATTTTTCTTTGTTTTTTGGGGTAGTTGCTGCGTAATTTAGTGTACAAGATTGTTAGGAGAAGAAAATGGAAGGAAGGATGCGATCTCATTCATGTGTGTTGCGTTTTGGTTGGTTTTTCGTTGTTTTGCACGAGCGCAAGCGCGCAACCACCGGTCTTCTACTTGCTAAATCTCGACCTAGTCCTACCACTCAGTCACTCCCAAGTCATATCATATGTTTATTCTTAGGCACGCTCTCTCTCTCCAAACCAAACAACACCCTTTGATCTGTTGGATTCCTCATTCTCTTCTCTGCCTTCCATTTTTCGTACTCGTTTTCTATTTTGCTTTATTTATAATTCGGTTGGGTTTGGGATGGTAACACCTCTCTCTTCACACCAATGAACTTGGGTTCAAAACGATAAGACCATTTACTCATTAATGAAACAATTATATATACCATTTCAAGTATGTAACATGTTTATGTACATCAAACTATGATGATTTACTCTTCACACCAATAACATGTAGTGGACAATTGTTTCATTGACTGTTTATGTTTACGTTTTTTATGCTTTGGTAAAGTTATGATGATTTGTGATGTCTTTGCAGTTCGGAGTTGGATGTTGGGTGGAGAGATTTTTTTCTCTCACGTTTTTGTGGATTATTTTTGCATATACATCAAATTATGATTTGGAGAAAAGAGAATGTTTCCTCTAGAGAATGAGCCAAGCAATATCCAATAGGGTGCAAAATGGCACACATCATTGAGCAATGTCCATGATATTTTGTTTTTTCAAGAGGGGTGTAGTGAGTAGAGGATCATGAAGCAAATAAGGGGGTCTACAGGGAGCCACCCTTCCGAATATTAAATTGAAAACCTCACAAACTGTAATTTTGGTATTACATACAAACAAATCTTCATCTTTTATTGATCACACAACAATTATTCTTCTTTGTAAATGTATAATATGGAATGTTGTTGGAAACGCCGCTGGGTAGCTCAAATTGCAATCTCAATCAGGCTCCCTTGTTTGACCTTAATTTAGGCTCCAAACATCCTGAAAGTATATATGGTAGAATTTTTTTGAGTTGTCATGTGGCTTTAGTGGAAAGAAAGATAGAAAACAAGACAATTGTAAGGATCTTACTCTTTACCTTTGCAATCGAGACTGTGAGCGTCTTGTGCTGCACATCAATTATGAACAATATATGTTATTAGTGCCCCAGGAGGTAATATTAACATATGCAAAATTATATTATGTGATCATGTTCAAAGTCTTCCACTACTTTGCTTTTAGTTTAGATTAACATGCCTTGGTATGGACTGTGATTTGGCAGTTGGCTTTGGCACTGGTTGTTCAGCCTCATCACTTGGGATAGGCACATTCTTCACCTGCAAAAATGCCAATGGAAATACGTGTCTAAATCTTGAACATAATAAAATGACAATAAATATGAGATGCATTGTATTATATGAGCATAATAGCATACCAAGTTCCGATACTGGAGATTAAAGAACATCTGGATGTATCTTTGCTTAGCTTGTTTCTGCTCTTTGTTCAACTCCCTCCAGAAAGTATAAGTGTTCCCCATGTTCAACACCTTGTTTGCATATATCTTCCAAGTGTAGCTACAAAATTAAGATAACTTGTTTTAAAAACCATAGGAGAAGATGTTGGTTTTCTGATACTGCACATGTCAATATGAATGAACTCAACCAAACAAATAGGGATTCATGTGTACTTACCATTCGTATATTCGCTGCAAACCTGCTTTCGAAAACCTGTCCCAGTATGTAGCATCAGTCTTGCACTTCTCGAAGAAATCAGCAATTTTGTTGCTTGCTTCATCACCATTGTTGGGATCAATATGGAAACCGGAGATCCCATCCACAATGATTTCAGCTGGGCCTCCTTGGTTGGTTGCAAAGGTGGGCAGTCCACAGTTCATTGCCTCTATGACAGTAAGACCAAAAGCTTCATAGAGGGCAGGTTGCACAAAAGCTCCCCTTGTGTCAGCAATACAACGGTAGAGTTCTCCATTTCGGTTCCTATCAGTCTGTGCAGCTATCCATCTGATCTGGCCCCTAAGCTGGTACTTTTCTATCAGTGTATGCATCTTTTTTATTTCTGCAATTTCTTCTCTATCTTTTGATTTTGAAGGGTCAAAGAACCCCCCAACTACAGCAAGGTTAACCAAATTTCTCAGCCTCTTGTTTTTCCCATACCACTCAACCAAACCAGTAATGTTTTTGACAGTGTCAAGCCTTGCCATTGAGAAGATGATAGGTTTCTTCCTGTCTGCTAGAAATCCTCTGTTTCAAAATGGTTTAGATAGATGTTAGATTACTAGTGATCTTCATTTGAAGTCTAAAAGAATGATTTGTTATTCCAGCACTTACATATGTTCACTGTTATCCTCTTTACTATACAGCAGTTCTTCGATGGCAGGATGAAATGATGTGAGCCGTTTCTGCTTCTCTGTATAGGGGAAATAGACAGACTGATCGGCCCCCGGTGCAGCAATGTTAAATTTGGGATCAAATACATTGATGCCTGAAACTACTCTACAGAGCCCTGGCAGTGTAAATGCAGTATGGCTTTCATATTGTCCTGGTCTGTCTTTGCTGCAAACAAGATCCAAGTACATTATAAACTATATATGCATTCATTTGGTAAGCCCTGTCATATATAGGTATAATAGTTGTTTTCTCTAACCTTCCTGCAATTTCCTGGTATGTGCTTGCTATGACAAAATCTGTGGCATTCATTGAAATTGTGTCAGCAAGAAATTGGCATGAGAAGTGATACTTAGGATCTAATTCCTTCCACTTGATGTCTGAATCTTCATATTTGGTCTTCTCCAAAGCATGAGCAATAGTTGCCTGGCTTTGATGTGCTAGGTTAGTAGATATGAAGTGGGAGAAAATGTGTTATGTGTATCTATAAGCTGAATGAATACTGACCTGAGTAATCCCTAGTTTATTAGCCATGAGAGATGCCACTAAATTCCCATCACTATAGTTTCCAATAATAAGATCTGGCTTCCCTTCCAAAATGTCGAGGACTTTTGCAGAAGCATCCTAGTAATTTGAAAGAGATGGAGATTAAGAACAGAAAGCACATTATAAAAAATAAAAAAAAACAAATCAATTAGTGAACACTGTAAGAGCATGGATTAAATTGTTGAGGGAAACATGCCTGTGCAAACAATTCAAGGTAGGGATAGATGTCAAAACGAGAAACCCAGCGCCGTAGGATCCCCTTTTCTGTCCTAAATGGCACCCTAAGAATGTTAGAGTACTTGGTGCCATTGATCGGTTCCAACTCCTGGTTGCACTTAGTTCCCTTTGCTTCAGGTATGAGTCTTGTTACCTATCCAAGCCAAGAATGTAGTTAGATAATACTAACTAGTAACTATACCGAACTGCCTTCATGAGGAATTTTTCCATTGTTGTATATGAAACTCACCACAAGAATTTGAGGCTTCACAGTAAGCCCTTGTTGCTTAATTCTGAGGAGCAGTTCCTCTTCTAGAGCTTGCACTTGATCCAGAATATAAACTACCTGTTTTTAATAGCAGGATTGAAAAGCTTACAGCTTAGTAACTAATGCCAACCCAAAGAGACTTAGCTTATCTGATACAGTATTTAAATTTATACCTGCCCACCGGTGTCTGGCAAGCCAAGAACATCTGCTTGGCCAAAGTAGCCATGAGGAGAGAATATTACGACATTGAATATTGTAGGAAGTCTGCTGAAAAACCTTTCCAAGTTCAATGGGTCTGGAGCTTGTAGTACTTCTGAAAGTAGTTTCATTGTCTCCTTAGTTCTTTCTGCGGTATCTCCCCACCCCTTCTCAAAGCCCCACTCCTTGAACCTGTAAATGAATGACTTTGGTCTCAGATTTCAAGTTACATGATCCACCAAAAGATAGAAGATGAGAAGTAGAGTCACCTTAGTTCAAAATTTTGGTACGGCATGTCTTTGGGAAGCGCTGAGAGGTACACTTCTGTTACAATCAGTGCCGTCTGAAGCTTTGAAGCAGTGTTGAGGTTCTCATTTAGAATAAGACTCTGTGAATTCAAAATCAAATAAATACATTTCAGACATTGTAATTAGAATGAAATTTTAATTTTTATGTTTCACAGAATTAAATTCCTGGCATTCCCATACTTCTCCTTCATGATTTAGTGAAAGTAAATAATCCACAAGGGGCTGTGCATTCTCCAATCTCCCAGCTAGCTTTGAACTGGTGAACTTGGAAACAAAATTGAGTCCATTTCCAATAGAGGAAGATAGAGTTAAGTGAGGAGTTGAGAAGTCAATTGCTCTAAAATCCACCTCCAGTGTATTTTCATCATTTGACCTGCAATGTGAAAGTGTTAACATCACCCAGTCCTGAGCAACAGGATGCAAAGTTTCAATAGCTTGCCTCGTAAATGTTTTGAGGCTGTCTCCTCTTCTTTTTTTATTTTTTTGGGGTAAGAAAAACCTATGTATGTACTTTATTACCTTTATTGAGATACAAAAAGCTGAAATAATTAAAAATAGATGTACCATTTCTCATCATATAAAGTTTCTTTGAATTTCAAGTAGTCTCTGACAGTGATAGACTCAACTGAGAGATCCTCAGAACTGACTTTAACAAATTCCCAATACCCTGGATTTGGTCTTATGGCAAAGACAAGAAATGGAGGAATAACAACAGCTTCCTGTGGATAAATATTAGCAAACAGATCAATATATCAGCAAACCGATAATTTATAATTTCAACACTCTAATTACACCCCAAAAGAAAAGAATGTATAATTAGAAACCTGAGTTGAAGACAATATATAGCCAAGCACTCCCTCCAAGACTTGGTTTCTTTCAACCTTGTCATCTATGACTGTCTCCATTTCACTCATCAAATGGGGAAGCTTCAATATCCTTTTTCCTTTCTCAATGTACTTAGCAAAGCACCTCTTCATATGGTACCGGCTCTGCCTCAGGGCTTCCGGCATGCTCTCAGCTATGGACTCGGATCGTTTGATGGCTGCTCCTGAAGCCATATTGAGTAAACTATTGTTTTTAAAAGACAAAGGCTTGAAGTGTTAAAGAGATGAAGAAGTTTGAGGTTTGGTCACCTTATGTTTC